AATATTGGGTTTAACATCCCAGAAGCAGGAAAACTTGGAAGTGTGTAATTATATTTATCGGCATCAACTAAAAGGATATGGACAGAAGATTGAGGTAAACATGAACATGAAAGTCATTCTCTACCTGGTGAAAATTTGATACCGGTGTTTAGGACAATTTTGTATGAAACACAAAGACAAGCTATCTTTCTCTCATTCTTTTTTTTTTTGGATGCTACTTTTGTGCTAAGCTCCTCCAGAATAAGATTTATAAACGAGTTTAACTGGGCTGTGCCATTGAAGAAACCTATAAAAAAAGGACGTCCTGCTGAGAGTCAAGTAAAGATCCCTTAAACTTTGAGTCCTTCCACTTAATTTTTATAATGGAAAAAGTATATTCTGGTTACAAAAACATCTGTTTTATCAGAAACGTTAGGTAGCTGAGCATGTGAAGAAAAGGCTTCTCTATATTGCTAGCGAGATGAAAAGTCAGTCTATTTGTCTTCTCTTTTGTTAGCTTTTATCTTGTGTCTCTGTTACTCTAATCTTAGAGGTCACATCCAAAAGGAATTAATTTAGATGTCTAAACTCGGAACACCATTCCTGCAGATCCAGGTTCCAGCAGCTCATTTCCCAGGTGTTTGGGGCAAACATGACCTTAGCTTTTGACCCCTGAATTACCCCCAAGCCTGAAGTTCTGCTGCTGCCTGTACCCTGGAGCACCTTAGTTGTACCACCATCACCTTGTCATCTTGTTCAGGCTTTTTTCCTGGCTAGGATCCAGAACTTCTCTCTGGGGTTTCAACTATATGTTACTTTAAAAGCAAACCTACATATGGTGAATCAATCAATCTCTACTTGAAGTGCAGTGATAGCAACTTTTTTCTTTATAGAACACATATGGGAGGAGAGTGAATTACTGTCCCTCTTGTACAATTGCATGTTGGTAAGTACATTAATATGTATTTGGTTTTCTCCTTTATATGAAGGATAGATTTAGATTGACTGAGGACATACCTGAAATAGTACTGTGATGCTCTTTCATATTCTCACTTCCTGTCCCAGGAAGTTTGAGTTCTGTTTTTGTCACAATGACTGTGACAGATGAAAATGGAGACTGTTAATAGTGCCCATCGGCTTGGACTCCCACTTGCATCTTTCTGATCCCAAAAAGGTGCTGTAACCACCTGCCTTTCCATGACAAGTGTATTGAGAGAGGGTTCTGTGTCTTCTGTACTTTGGAAGAATTTTTTACATTTATTTATTGGGAAAGCACTTTGGCACTTACATTTAAGGATTTGGATTGTATGTAGGTGGAGACATGGGTATGTTCAAAGACTCCTGTTTCAAGGGAAAAAAATAATTTGCATATAGCTCTCCCCAGCTTGTTCCTGCTGCAGTAGGTATGTTGACCTTCAGGTGCGTTTCAGTCTGGAGGTGGTTCCAAAGGCACCTTCTGAGGTGGACAGCTCCTTTAGTGAATGACACAGGGAGGAGCTGAGGTCCCTAAATAAGGATTTCAAATTTCTTTCCTCGGAAAAGTTAAGCTGCACAGCACATGGTGGTGTGAGCTCAACGGCATTTCATACTATGGACTTCTTACCTTTGCAGAGTTGGTAACAGCTGCTTTATGCTCCAGTTAAGCATCAGTGACTAAAGCCCTTTCTGTTAGGGACCACAGCAAACGTTCTGCTAAGAGTAAACCCACTGTGATTCTGCCTTACCATTTACTACATCTCCTGCTAAATAATAGTCTGTATTATGAGAAAAAAAGGTTAGCTTTATACCTGAACAAATCGGATATATAATTGATTTGCTTCTCCTTGATTGAGAGCATCCAATGTAACTGTCTATGTTCTCAGATAAAAATAAATTAAAAATGCAGCTGCATTTAATTTCAAACTGAAGTCTTTTATAAAGGGGGATAGGGATTTTTAAAGAGCATTTGGCAATTGGTTTAACTGATCTCAGTTAAAATAATATATTCTGTGAAATAATTGGCAAGTGATGTCTAGAGGCAATGAGTTAAGCTAGTGCTGGCTGCACTAGAAAAATCCCACTCATGATTTCTGAGTTCATTTCTTGAAGATATGACAAGTTCTCTCTTGTAGGTTGTAGTATACGGATTGCACTATGTATCTGTCTGAATTAAGTGGTCAATATCTTCCTCTGAACATCAGTGGCAGGGCTAAATTACTTCTAAGAGCTATGTATAAGACTTTTTAGAACTAAGGCTGAACATTAAAGTTGCTTATTTCTGCTGCTAACAATACTGAATTTCATGGGGCAAATGAAAAAACAAATATGGGTGCTGACTTACTTGCATACTCTTCATATTCCGTACACAGCTATCTCGCTTTGCCTTGCTTTGAAGAAAATGTAATCCGAGCACACAAGAACAACAGCAGTACACTGCAGATGTTTTGGTTTGTGTGGTGTAAGATTGACTTTGAGTGTTACATGGGAAACAGAATGAACCAAACAAAAATATCTAACCCCAACCAAATGATAAATCAAAAAAGCAAAGCACAGGAGTACAGAAGCACCTTTACACCTGGGACTTAAAAACTGAGGTACTGTCTGTGTTTTAGTCAGTCTCTGGCAACAAACTTAGTTTTAATGCCTCGGTTTACCTATGTCAGAGGGGCAGAGGGAAAACTAATATCTTGTGAGTATTGTTAGATCAGTTGCCTCAGAAGAGTTCACCAACCCTTACACAATACTAGCAGAACAAATGAAGGTGTTCACTGGGACTTTTCAGCATGAGATTTGTGTATCTGGAAGAATCCAAGGCTGTTTTGAAGTCAGAGGCAGATATCTGATCTGGGCTCTTAGTTACTGCTGTAATAGGACTATTTTTAGAATTGCACTGGGCTGCTTTTGTTCTGCTGTAATCCTTTCCTGTCTCATTACCATAGTCTGTTTGCTCCAGTAAACTTTAAATACTTCCCAAGTGTAGAACATACAAAGATGAGCACCCCACAATCAGTAATTCTTACAATCCTAGCAGGTGGGCTGTCCAAGGCAGGCATCTGCACTAAGTTTCTAGCTTTGTACATGTCTTATGGAAGTTGTTTTCTCTTAGATTATGCTGCACAACTGAATTGTCCCTGAGCCTCAGATGAGGTCACTAGATGCTTCATTTCACACAGTATGATTTTGTACTTCAAGCTATAACTTTTGATGAAAGTTTTTAGAAGATTGTCCCAGATGGAACTGCTGTAAGGCCAAGGCCTCTCTCCCTGAAATGACAAGAGAGGTAGCTGAAGTAGGGTGTCATACAGGAGCTGCAGAATATGGTAGTGATGTGTTCCTGATGGTATAGCCAGGAAAGCTTCCTGTACCCTTAGAACTTCACTTGCATTCTTTAAGACTTAAGGTTAACTTCTCCAAGTAAGAGAGTTTAGTATAAATTCACCATATAAATCCCATCTCTTCCCCTGACTAATCTGGAACCTGATAAGGATATTACCTGTGGTGTTTCTTAGTATCATGCTTGCTGGGCTTTTTGTCTTGCCACCTGGTTAGCAAGGTCCTTTAAAGAGAAATCTCCTCTTGCAGTTCAGAAGTTTCTTATGTCATTCTGCCTGAACTGTTTCTGTGACAAATCTGCTAGTTGCACAAGTAGACAAGTCATATCTAATACACTGTTCAGGTTCTGATAGTCCAGTTCTTGTCTTTCCACTTTACACATTATGCTGGAATTCCTTCTGACCACCTTCGGTGTAATCTGATAGTCTTTTGAGTCTGAAGATTGCATATGAACAGACTTTCTGATTAAATTACCAGGCCTCTGTCTCTCCTGGCCTCCCAGTGTTCCTGGCATTCCTTCCCCCCAGCCCTTCTTGAAGTACTTTATTTTTTTTTCCCTTTTTTCTTTCCTTTTCTATAATTGGGAAATTAAGACATTTACCACCTACAGCAACTAATAGCCAAGCAGAAAAAAATCCAAACGCCAAGCCTAGCACACTTAAAATCCCTCAGTGGCACAGCTCACATTAGGGCACAAGGGAAGTAAAGCATCATTGTATTGCTATTTCATTATAGCCATATTCATCCATGGGTTCAAATGTTTGTCTTAACCTCCATCTCATAAATTCTAAGTAGTTAGTTCATTGTAAGGAAGACTGAAATATGGAGACAAGTTGATAAAGTGCATTACAAGACAGTTGCATTTCCCTTCATTCCCTGATTCAGGTCAGCCATACTTCATCCCATGGAGATGCATCTTGTTTAGCTTTCAGTGTTTAGAAATACAGAAGAATGGTTGGTCTGTGTCTTGCACACAGCCCAGCATCAGCACTCATTCACTTATTTGAAAATTGTCCAGCATTTTGTGATCTGAGATTTATGTCTTGAGCTGGATCAGTGACTCAAGACACATCATTTAAAACATGACCAAAATAATGTTACAGTATGCTATATATCATCACCCAGTGAATGATTTTGGAACAAATCAGTTACACCTCTGAAAGCAGTGGTGGTGTTTTCTTTTCTTGTTTGACTGAATTAAAATAGTACTTCATGCTTCCTTTTCACTAAATGAACAATGGTACACAGAGGTAACTTTATCAGCTCAAAGGTATCTCTTATTTTATGACAAACCTCTGTTCCCTTACTGTGTTCATCCGTCATACAGAATACTTTCTGTCACTACATCTGAAACTTGCCTATATTCTTATGGTGTCTATATCATGGTATTTTTGGTAGAGGCCACAGATTTCACTTCACTGTATATCAGCTCTGTTTTCCTTATCCAGGTATTGATTTTTATTGCATCACCAGAGCTTCGATAATTGTAAATCTGCAAATATGTAAATGATTTTTAGTTACTGAAGGAGTGCTGATTTACAGGACAGAAGACCTGGCTCCACAACTTGAGCAGATAAAATGAGTTGGGGTGTTTCTGACGAAGATATTCTTCCAGTCATGTGGTTGAATGGAACTCTAGAAAGTGAGAACATTGCAGAAAGATTAAACAAACTAGACAATGAAACAATTATTTATATCTTCATTTTTAGCACACTGGCAAATGGAATGCATCTAGCTAAGTATATAAGTCTCACAAGCTGCCTCTCAATCTGGACCTGTGGAGCTGAGAGAAAGTACCTTAGCAAAGAGGAGAGAGACAGCGAGAAATCAGAGTAAAACCGCAGATGATGGGAACACGCTGTAAAACTGCTTTCAGCCCCTGAAAGAAGCCAGTGTAGCGAACAACTTGTTCTGCTAAGGTCAGTACTAATCCTGTTGCTGATTCAATTCTTTAGAGCAAAATGCTAAAACTAACTAAATAGATTAAAATAGTTATAATTTGGTTCTTCTGTCACTGGACTGTCAAGGCTTGGATCTAAACCTGGGATTTCATCCTTACTGTGGGTCCTTGCCTTTGCTTTTCTCCTCTACCAGTCCACATCAAACATGCCTTGCCAAAGAATTCGGGAAAATACTTTTTGCTATCTTTGAAGGAAATATGGGGCCAAGAAATCAGAAAATGCTTTGCTGTTTAGCTGTTAGTATTTATAAAACCAGGAAGCCATCACTTATGGGCTTGCCATACAAGGGCTGAATAGACAGAGGAAGTGGTATTTTAACACTGTTAGTGGATCAGTGGGAAGCTGTGATCCACCAGTCTCTTTCTGAGCCTTCCTGACAAACTCACTGCTTTGTATGTTTGTTTCTGTGCCTGAGTAACTGAAGAATGACGGAGAAAGGGATGCAGCTTGTAAAATAGAAGTGGGAAGACTGTGAATTACACACTAATGGCTAGCTATAACAAATTATATTTTCCCTTTAAGTAGACTCTTCAATGCTACTTTTCCAGCTAAGAGATCTCTTATCTGGGATGTAATTAAAACTCCCCACTGTTGCTCAAATCTTAGATACTTAAAATTCTTGTTTGTCTCCCATTAGTATTACATAATTTAAAGCTATCTCTGGTCAAGGAGCATAAAGTAGTTATGCATAGCAGTAATATACAGGATTGTTTCAAGCTAAGTACAGCATGGATCAGGTAAATGGGAGATACAGGTAAATCTGTGACTCTTATTATCTCATATTCCTATGACACGTCTGCTTATCATGCCAGAAAATGGTGCAGAGTTTTCGGGGGTTGTAGGTTGCTGGGGCACAAACAACTCAATGAACTCTTACCCTCTTTGGCTGCCTACAGCAAACCTTACAGAAAGGGAGGCTGCAGTCAACACAAGTTTTCCTGTGCTTTCATTTCACACCACCAACTTTTTGGCAAGCCAGTATGAGCTCATCAGTATAGCTAAGTAATTGGGCTAGTCATAACAGAATTAAGATAAGCCAACCGCGAGAATTGTTTGGACCTCCATGGCAAATGTGCATCTATGCAAAAGAACTTGTTGCTGTTGCATGCTCCATTTAACATACTCTTTCCTAGTATGTATTTTGTTTCAGTAAATGTTTATCACAAGCTGAGCTGTAGCCACATGTCTCTGACTATGAAGACTGGTAGGAGTTTTATGATGGACATTCTATGATAGATACATCACATTAGTGTTATGTTTTATTTGTGATAGCTAAAAATCAAACTCATCCATGTTACCAGACTTGAAACAGTGAATGTTTAATTTACTGACTCCAGTCAGATTACACATGTACAAAGCTTTGTTAATCACACAAGTATTTAGGTGTTTTCAAAGGGTGAGATTAGAATTCAAACTGAATTTAACAGATCATAGAATCATAGAATCGTTAGGGTTGGAAAGGACCTTAAGATCATCTAGTTCCAACCCCCCTGCCATGGGCAGGCACACCTTACGCTAAATCATATCACCCAAGGCCTCGTCCAACCTGGCCTTGAACACTGCCAGGGATGGAGCATTCACAACCTCCCTGGGCAACCTATTCCAGTACCTCACCACCCTAACAGGAAAGAATTTCCTTCTTATATCCAACCTAAACTTCCCCTGTTTAAGTTTTAACCCGTTACCCCTTGTCCTATCACTACAGTCTCTAATGAAGAGTCCCTCTCCAGCATCCCTATAGGCCCCAATTAATTAGTTTGAAGTCAACAAGTAAAAACTCTAAAAATGCATTAGCAAGCTATATGTGCAAGAAGGAAAAGAATAATAGGATTAAAAATGATGAATTTAAGATGAATCTGGATGTGGACATTATAAAGGGCCCCAAGCTAAATAGAAGCCACCAACTGGTCATTGAGGGAATATATTTGCAGGGATCTTGAGATGCTGTTTCTAAAACTAGAACAAAATAACATAGACAAACTGGAACAGACAAGTGTAAAGTAACAACTATCATAAAATTTAAAACATTTTGAAAAAATTTTTGAAGAGTTTGTGGTGTTTATTTGAGAAAAAAAATATTGAAATATGGGTAAGGTCAGAAAAAAAGGCAGTCACAAGATTCATTCTCCATATTAATTTGTAATTCGGTGAGATGTAACAGGCTTATTATATAAAAAAAGATTTAGATAAGACATTGGAAAACGTTTCTAACTAAATAAAGATGGGTAGTGGAATGGATTCCCATAATCTTTTTAAGCATCTCTATGGCTGGAGTTTTTTAAGGATAGATTAGAGAGACATGTAAGCTGATCTGTATAGACAATTTTGCCTCAGAGGAAGGATGAAACTGCCTGTATGTCTTCAGACCCAACTGTGCCTTCACTTTTTTATTTTTATGGTATTTTTTTTCTACATGTATTTCATCATTTGTATGTAACGCAATGCCAAACGCATTAAAATAAGGCTGCTTAAAGTGAGTATGGAAACAAATTGATTAAATTAATTTTTATGTTTTTCCACTCATTATGGAGTATCATGCTGAGGCAGAATACAAAATGAAGTGTGGTGTGAATGCTTATTATGGAAAAGCAAAAAAAAAATAATCCAATATATCCATTTGTAATGGAAAGTCTTTTCTGGTAAGAAAGCTTGCGTTTTCACAGTACTCTTCTACTTTGAGTTTCAGAGTGCTTTCAGAAATGTTCTTTGTATCCCTGAGGCACTTTGTGAGGTGTGACCACATCTGTGTAGCTTCACATTGGAGACAGAAGCTCCAAAATACCCAGTTCAAGATCTAAAACCAGCAGGGCCAGGCCTGGCCTCACCTCCTTCAGGTGCAGCTCATCCCCTCTTCTATGTCATGCTCTCTCGCCATCACTGTCGCTTGTCAGCTTTCAGAAATGTCTCTGTGCTTTCATGAGCACTTTGATGTGAGTTACCATCCTGTATGACAGGGACAAGTGTTGAGTTACTGCCCTTTCCTGAGGACCTCTGTGAACACATCTATGAAGAGCACACAGGTAACAGGGGCTTCTATATGAGAAAGTATAGGTAGAAACCTGAATTGGCATAAAATTTGCAACCTTGACTCTGCTTTTTAGGTATTTTTTTAAAAGAATTATTTAATATTGCTGTTTTTTTCTGAGCAGCTTACATGTCTGCTTTATTTTAATGATAAATACTTGGGCCATACAAATAGTAGTTGCCGTGCCAATGAACACTTCTCCGTGTTAATTTTATTTTAATTTGGCAAGTTCTCAGAGGTAAGTACGTTATAGTAAAACTGTCTCTTTATAGACAGCCATCTGGACATCAAGATAAATCTGTTAAATGTCTCTCTCTCTCTGTGTGTGTCTGTATATATATATATGTGTGTGTGTGTGTATATATATATACATATATATATACACACACACACAAGTTGTTTGCCTGGTATTAAGTGGATTTACTTTCTATGAAAACTTTACTTTTGTGGTGTCATTCTTAGAGGCAACAGCAAAAAACCTTTATACAATACAGGGGAAAGAAACCTCCAAACTCTCTAATAATGAGAGTAACCTTAACCAAGGATATTTCTCTGAGAATTAATAACTAGCTTGGGTTAATGGTCACTGGCTTCACCTTAGGCCCTCAGTTAATCCCTGAACCTCAGTTGTTATTACCTAATTGACTTAGCTTCATTTCATTTTAACATTTCAAAGTGATCTTCCTAAAATCACACTGACAGAGTAACGTGGTCTCTGTAGATGTGCACTGACATGGTTTCAATATAGTTACTTTGTCTCCATACTCTTGCATTGACATTTCATTTTGTTTTGACATCGCAGTGCCACATCTATGGATCTGTGCAGATGACATGTGATTGCTCAGATTAGGTGAAAGCCTGCCCAGGAGTGAGGGCAAGGGAACATCTTACACAGGGACATGATGCCAGCTAAAAGCCACTATGCAGAATCAGTGTTGTGAATGATTGTTAGCAAACATGATTTGCATGTTGTAAAGGGAAGAAAGATAAAATTTCACTTGAAAACTTGTTGGCTTTCTTAACAGACAGAAATCTTTCCACTCTTAGATCAGATAAAAAAAAACAGCCTGAAAAACATGCCAGGTAATGTATTTAAAAAGAGGGGTTTTGATATTACCATTTCATGCTCATTGAGGCTGCAAATAAGTTATTCAAATCTGGTGTCTTTCAATAACATAGTATCTAATTAAGCAATTGAATACTGTAAGATGCAACTCTAAATTGAGAAATCCCTATAAAAATAGGGCATAAAAATGAAGCCTTTTTATGATGTGGAAAAGTTTTTTTGAAAGTCTTTTGAAGCTCTTTGATCCAGCTCTGAAATAATTTTGGTAGATTACTATTGTACGAAACCCATAATTTATAGTAGCTGACCTAAGCTGCTCTTTGTATAACAGCCATATATGAAACAATAGCAGGAAAGTGAAAAACACAAGGGGAACTAAAACTGCTCTGTTTATTATTTAGCTCATAATTACATCAGATTTAAAAGCGGCCTAAACTCGCTACTAGCATTCAGTCAGCTGATCGGAGCTAGCCTAGCTAGAGCCACAGCCGGCACGCTTCAGCGACGCGAGGGTCAACGGAGATTAGGAAAATCAGAGGGGATAGCGCAGAGACATCGCGATTCCCGACATCTCCCGATCCCCGAAGCCCCAGCAGCCCTTGCGAGAGAGAGGCTGACGTGGAGGGGGGCGTTCCCACGGTGACGGCGACCACTCCCCTGCTGCTTGCCTTGAAAAAGCCTTTGAGAGGGCAGCGACGGGTCGGTGCCCACCGGGCACAGGGAGGAACAAGCAGGTCGTGTTGCTGGTGTCCCAGACTGCGCACCAATATGGTTGCTTCCAGAAAGAGAGCTTGCAGTAAGGTGACTACAGCAACTCAGACAGAGCCCCCGTCCCAGACCGTGGCTGTTCAGGTCTCTGGGTGCAGGGAGTGCCAGAGCCTGCTGCTGCCGGGGGAGGGAGGACAGCATTCCACCTGCGTGAGGTGTGAGCAGGTAGAAGATCTGCTTAGCCTGGTGGCAAGACTTAAGGAGGAGGTTGAGACACTGAGGACCATCAGGGAGTGTGAAAGGGAGATCGACTGGTGGAGTAACTCCCTGGCAGGCCAGTCGAAACGGTTCCAGGGAGATACCCCCCAAAAGGGGAAGGACCCCCTGCCTTCTCACACAGAGGGGGATGGCCTGAGGCAGCCCCTGCCCTGTAGCTGTTGCGCAGAGGTAGGGGACCAAAAAGATGACGAGGGTTGGAAGCGAGTTCCGGGTCGACGTCGTGGGAAACCCTCCCCCCTTCCTGCCCTGCTTCCCCAGGTGTCCCTCCATAATAGGTTCGAGGCCCTGGATCTTGAAGGAGAGGTAGGTGAGAATGTGGGGCAAGGCCAGCCCACAAGGCCACATAGGAAAAGGGAGTCGACTTTGCACCTCAAGACTGCCTCTGTTAAGAAAGAAAGAAGGGTCATTGTAGTAGGGGATTCCCTTCTGAGAGGAACAGAGGGCCCGATATGCAGAGTTGACCCTCATCATAGGGAAGTGTGTAGTCTGCCTGGAGCCCGGATCAGGGATATCACCAGGGCGCTCCCCAACCTGGTGCACCCGACAGACTATTACCCGCTGCTGGTCTTCCAGACAGGTGGGGAGGAAGCTGCTTCCCGCAATCTGAGGGGGATGAAGAAAGACTACAGGGCCTTGGGGCGGATGGTGAAAGAGTCTGGGGCTCAAGTGATCTTCTCCTCACTCCTTCCATCTTCCACTGATGATGTGGGAAGGAATGGGAAGATTCAGTTCATGAACAATTGGCTTCGAGACTGGTGCTACAGGCAGGGCTTTGGATTCTTTGATAACGGCTGGTTTTATAGGGCACCAGTCTGGACAATGACAAGTGAGAAAGGTTTGTCTCACAGAGGGAAAAGGATGCTGGGGCACGAATTAGCAGGGCTCATTTGGAGAGCTTTAAACTAGATTCGAAGGGGGATGGGGTTGTAGCTGGGCTTGCCCCAGTGGGGCAGCGCTCCAGAATTAATGAAGACTGGGAGGCCTCCTACAATCCTAGGGTGAAATCGGTGTGCTCAGCTCGCTCCCTGAAATGCCTGTACACCAATGCGCGCAGCATGGGAAATAAGCAGGAGGAGTTGGAAACCTGTGTTAAGTCAGGAGATTATGATCTGGTGGCAATTACAGAGACGTGGTGGGACAGCTCACATGACTGGAATATAGTCATGGAAGGCTATGTCCTTTTCAGGAAAGACAGGCCAGCCAGGCGGGGTGGTGGGGTTGCTCTTTATGTGCGGGAGGAACTACAGTGCACCGAGTTCTGTCCAGGGACAGATGATGAGCGAGTTGAGAGTCTGTGGGTGAGAATTAAGGGGCAGGCTGGCAGGGGGGATACTGTTGTAGGTGTCTGTTACAGACCACCGGATCAGGGTGAGGAAGTTGACGAGGCCTTCTACAGGCAGCTGAGAGCGGCCTCACAGTCACAGGCCGTGGTCGTCGTGGGGGATTTTAACTTCCCTGATGTTTGCTGGAAGGACCACTCGGCAACCCAGCCGCAGTCCAGGAGGTTCCTCCAGTGTATGGATGATAACTTCCTCCTGCAAATGGTGGATGAGCCGACCAGGAGAGGAGCGCTGCTGGATCTCATCCTCACTAACAAGGAGGATCTGGTTGAAGCAGTAAGGGTTGAGGGCTGCCTTGGTTGCAGCGACCACGAGATGGTGGAGTTCAGGATCTTGTGTGGCAGGACTAGTAGAATACCAAGTAGAATTGCAACCCTGGACTTTAGCAGGGCAAACTTTGGCCTTTTCAAGCAATTGCTAGGGGAAATCCCATGGGCAGGGCTGCTTGAAGGTAAAGGGGCCCAAGATAGTTGGTTGACATTCAAGGACTACTTTTTCCGTGCTCAAGATCGGAGCATCCCGACACGTAGGAAGTCAAGGAAGAGGGCCAAGAGACCTGCGTGGCTAAATAGGGAATTGCTGGGTATGCTCAAGTGGAAGAGGAGAGTTTACAGGTCATGGAAGGAGGGGCTGGCCACTTGGGAGGAATATAAGGCTGCTGCTAGAGGATGTAGGAAGGCAGCTAGGAGGACTAAGGCATCCTTAGAATTAAACCTGGCAAGAAGGGTCAAGGACAGCAAAAAGAGCTTTTTTAAATACATGGCAGACAAAACTAACACCAGAGGCAATGTAGGCCCACTGATGAACGGGATGGGTGCCCTGGTGACAGAAGATAAAGAGATGGCAGAGTTACTGAATGCCTTCTTTGTCTCTGTCTACTCTGCTGCGGGCAGTCCTGAAGAGCCCTGTACCCCTGAGACCTTAGATGAAGTCAGGTCGACGGAGCGGTTTGCCTTAGTCGACGAGGAATGGGTTAGAGACCAGTTGAGCAATCTGGACATCCATAAATCCATGGGTCCAGATGGGATGCACCCGCGGGTGCTGAGGGAACTGGCGGAAGTCATTGCTAGACCACTCTCCATCATCTTTACCAAGTCTTGGGAAACGGGAGAGGTGCCTGAGGACTGGAGGAAAGCAAATGTCACTCCAGTCTTCAAAAAGGGCAAGAAGGAGGACCCGGGTAACTATAGGCCGGTCAGCCTCACCTCCATCCCTGGGAAAGTGATGGAACACCTTATCCTTGGTACCATCTTAAGGCATATCAAGGATAAGAAGGTTATGAGGGGCAGTCAACATGGCTTCACCAGGGGGAAATCATGTTTGACCAATCTCTTAGCCTTTTATGAGGAAATAACACGGTGGATGGATGATGGCAGAGCGGTGGATGTGGTCTACCTTGACTTCAGCAAAGCATTTGACACAGTCTCCCACAGCATCCTCACGGCTAAAATGAGGAAGTGTGGACTGGATGATCAGGTAGTGAGGTGGACTGCGAACTGGCTGAAGGAGAGAAGCCAGAGAGTTGTAGTCTATGGGGCTGAGTCTAGTTGGAGGCCTGTAACTAGTGGAGTGCCTCAAGGGTCAGTACTGGGACCGGTATTATTTAATATATTCATCAATGATTTAGATGAGGGAATTGAGTGTACTATCAGCAAGTTTGCTGATGACACTAAGCTGGGAGGAGTGGCTGATACGCCAGAAGGCTGTGCTGCCATCCAGCGAGACCTGGATAGGCTGGAGAGTTGGGCAGGGAGTAACTTGATGAAATATAACAAGGGAAAGTGTAGAGTCCTTCATCTGGGCAGGAACAACCCCAGGTTCCAGTATAGGTTGGGGAATGACCTGTTAGAGAGCAGTGTAGGGGAGAGGGACCTGGGGGTCCTAGTGGACAACAGGATGACCATGAGCCAACACTGTGCCCTTGTGGCTAAGAAGGCCAATGGCATCCTGGGGTGTATTAGAAGGGCGGTGGTTAGTAGGTCGAGAGAGGTCCTCCTTCCCCTCTACTCTGCCCTGGTGAGACCGCATCTGGAGTATTGTGTCCAGTTCTGGGCCCCTCAGTTCAAGAAGGACAGGGAGCTGCTGGAGAGAGTCCAGCGCAGGGCAACTAAGATGATTAAGGGAGTGGAGCATCTCCCTTATGAGGAAAGACTGAGGGAGCTGGGTCTCTATAGTTTGGAGAAGAGGAGACTGAGGGGTGACCTTATCAGTGTCTATAAATATATAAAGGGGGAGTGTCACGAGGACGGAGCCAGGCTCTACTCAGTGGCAAACAATGATAGGACAAGGGGTAATGGGTACAAACTGGAACACAAGAGGTTCCACTTAAACTTGAGAAGAAACTTCTTCTCAGTGAGGGTGACGGAACACTGGAACAGGCTGCCCAGGGAGGTTGTGGAGTCTCCTTCCCTGGAGACATTCAAAACCCGCCTGGACGCATTCCTGTGTAACATTATCTAGGTGTTCCTGCTCCGGCAGGGGGATTGGACTAGATGATCTTTCGAGGTCCCTTCCAATCTCTAACATACTGTGATACTGTGTGATCTTCCTTATTTAATCTTTGGAATCCTGGCATGTTCTTAATAATACAGATTCAATTAATATTTACTACACACAGGAGAGTTAGTTTTCAGTAATGCATTTAGACTATCCAAACTTTGTGTAACTTGTGACCTTTCCCTAACCTAAGCGAGGTCTATTTTATACAGATCGTACTAGATAGACAGTTTCTCTATAAATGGTGAAGTTGCTGCCAAGCTCCCATTGTTAGCTAGTTCATTTTTCAACAGGCATACTTTAGGTTCCTATCACACCACTGTAAAGAGCAAGCCCTTGAGGTTTCTTCTTTTGTCAACATAATAAAATGGTTATTTCTGAATAACCTGCAAATCCATCACAAATGGCCCTTTGTGACTTGGAATAACATGATAGCAGGATTTTTTTGGTTTGTTTTTTTTTGCAGGCAGCCTCCTATTTTATTCCATATTATTAAATTAATATTTGAGCAGCATTTGTCTTAGCATATGTATAACTCGTCCTCGAAATAACAAATGCATGGTTCTGACAAGTTATTCTTGCTCAGTGTTCACTGTCTAACTGCCAAAGATCCCTTCAGAAGCTAAATAGTGAGACTACTTCAGCTGAAGGAAAAGGAAGAATCGAGTTGAGTTCTGCTTACTTTTTTTTGTTGACCTTCAAGGAGTTTTAATCAACTCTGTTAAACAAGAACAACCTGTAGGATGGACAAGCTCTTGTCAGAACAACTGGTTTGAGAACTGAGATCTAGCCATCTTTTCCTTTCTGAGACAAGTAGATTTTGGTACAGGAGGAAAGCTAAACCTTTGACTTCAACAGACCTTGCAGATGTGCTGCACAAGCAAGGCATGAACATGTGGAAAGGAAGTCTCCTTAGTGAAAGAGGCCGCTCTAACAGCTATATTCCTAATATTGGCTTTGCCTATTTTCTGGTAGCATGGATGCAGATTAGTATCAGAAACAGAAGCTGTCACTAGAAAACTTAGGACAGACTATTCAAAAGGGGAAACAAGGGCAAATGGGAGGATGCTGAATAAATAAATGTGAAATGGTTAAAAAAGGATGGAAAATTCGAAGGGGAGGATTTAAAGACAGATGAAAAAAGCCATGAAAAGTCTTATGTAATAGTAGTCTAGAGGGTGGAGAAATGCAAAAGCAAATACCAGGACAGAATGACTTTTTGAATACACTGATGTAACCAAACAGGATGAAAATTACTCATAAACTATCAGTACTATTAATGTGATAAATAGTAATAAGGTAAGAGCAGTAAGACATTTGGTCTTTTTTCTTCAGCTTTAGATTGGAAATTTTATTCTGCTCTGAGCTGGCTTCAGGGAAAGATCATTAAACTCATGCTAACAATGTGTCCGCAGAATACAGAAATGTTAAAAAACGTTTTGTCTTTACACTAGAGTGTGACACAGCATTGTGCTGCTTCCCTTTACAAGGAAGTTTTACTTCTCTGTTCAACGCAATGACATCAATTCCTAAAGCTCAGAACAGGCCTTATTACAGTGCTTGTAAGAGCAGATGCTTGGTGAGTCTATATATGCCAGTGTGAACATCAGTCGGTGTTATGCACACTTCTGTTTTCTGGCTAGGCGTAATTCATTAGCAGACTCTACAGAATATTCCATAAAACTGGATTTGGCTTTAATGTTAAGGTTCTAATGACTACAGTATTATTTAAGAAAACAAAACCAACGAGCACCTCACAAATAGTAGTCTCTCCTCTTTAATACTGAAGTTGCTGTTTACATATGATAAACAGAAAAAATACACAAGGGTTTTTTTGCAAGACACAAGTAGGAATAACAATAAAAAAACCAAACTATGTTCTTTCAGCATTTAAAATAGTGACACAGCATATTTTTTGCGGTGGCAAAGCTTCTTCAATAGCATTTAATGAAATTAATACAGTAGGTACACTTTTGTGGCTTATTTCATCCTCATTCTAATACAAAGATGCTTAAAGGGGGCAATACATAAAGATGAGGTCAAAGCTTTTATTAAAGACAGCTGTATTGCTTTCCAACCTGTTATGTCATGGTATTAGGTAGAGGAATAAAGAAACAAATACAAGCCTAACCTGATTTATCTGTGTGTCCCCATATAAATTTGTTTAATGTAAAAACAAAGCAAAGCTTTGATGGAGGTTGAGCAGGATTTTCAACATCTGTGCAGATAAATTTAATTTATTCAAAAAGAAAAAACAGCATTACTGCATCTTGTAAAAGCTGATTTAAATGATTTCATACAACAGAAAGCATATGCACTAGCTAAAACAAATTCAGTTTGCCCTTCAAACCCATTTACTCAAACAACCATTACTTTTGAATTTTCTACTCCAATAATGTTCAGCTATTTCTTCTTTTTTATTCTCTTCTGGATTTCACACATTCCACTAGCCTAAACCCCAAGCCCAGGGGCAGCAGCAACATCATACATGCAGCTCCTGTGTATCTTTACGGGCAGATCCTTAAAGCTGGTTAGGCAAAATAAGCTAAGCACAATACCTTAAATAGCTGAACAGGAATGAATTACAGCTGTAACAGGTTTATTTGTAAAATAAATCTTTTCACTATAGCATGTTAAAACCTAGGATAATAATCTCTATGCAACAATAATTCACTGCAGTGGAGCTATACGAGCTTATCTCTGCAGCAAGGAACAGAGTACTAGGAAGACTAAAGAAAGATATTTTTTCCTGAAAATTAAAGATTAGTCAAAATGATAAGGTCCTTTCTGAAACATAGCAAACTGTTAAAATGAGAACTAAAAGTTCAAAATAAAAATACTGCATATGCATCTGAAAACTATAGCTGAAAGAAAATGGAATAAGATTAATACCCTTTTAAGTCAAGGCAAGACTATAAAAAGCCTGCATGTGATTTTTGAAATCATACAGGCACACAGAGTATCACCTCAGCTGCAAAAAGATGATGAATATGTACTGTAATGTTTTAAAGACCCTTTCCTTATGGAAGAGGTTATCAACTTGTGCTTTAGGAAAACTGTTATCACACCTTTAATTCTACAACAAAATCCGTACCTTTGCTTCTCTGAAAATCAGAACATGGTGAGCAGACATGCAAAACTCTCGCCTTTAAAAAATATTCTGTCCTTTCCCAAATGCCAGTTAGTGAAGAAAAGAGTATTAAAGAGTGTCAAGCTCTGTAAGCTGCTACTAAGAAATCTCTGAGAGCACAAACCTGAGGCCCAACACTGCCCCTCTAAGTGGTGATGAGCATGAAAATAGGGCGAGACTGAACTCACTCAAATCTAAGGAGGGCTAGCACCCACCAAAATGCTCTTCTGCTCTTGGTGGTTTCAACAAAGAGAAAAACAATGCTTTTACAAGTATACATAAGTACGGTGGAAACTTATGCTCTACCCAGCACAGTTTCTATAGGCAAACTTTGTGTGTCTATTTATCCTGCGGCACTGATCCAGTAAAAAGCACTGTTTCATCATCTTTTTTTTCACTCCTCTTGTTGAACACCAGGATGGTAATCTCCTTCAGAAGTAACCCACACAGAGAGCTCCTGCACATTGTTCTTGTGGACTTCAGTACGCCAGAAAATTGTATGTTACAGTACCTACAGGGGTCAAGACAGATTCCTTCCTTAAAGTCGGTTAAGGGAAAAATTCCTAGGTACAGATTCCCTGGGGGGTGGGCTGGAAAAGACAAACACAAGTTATTTTTCAGTCATTAAACTACTTATTGAAAACCCACAAGTGTAAGCCCAAATCTCACTCCCCAAAATCCACTAACTTATTTTTTAACTCCGTATTCCATTATTGATTTTAGCAATTAGATAGTGACAAAACACATATACCAATTATTCTCTCAAAATCTGGCTCTTTACTGTAACAGCCAGAACTTACACAATCCTATCTTATCACTTTAGCTTTATGAGATCTGCATTATGTTTTAAGCCCCAGAATAACAGTCTTTACCAATTTTCCACATTGGTGTAGGTGTTTCAGTCAGTTCACTAGCACTGAATAAATTTGGGAGTTAAACCATAAAAAGCCACTTATTTTTAAAGGTGACTCCCTAATAGGCATAAGAACTGAAAGTTGTACCTTTCAGCCTCTGCATTTTTGTCTTTGTTTAGAATGCTAGAAGAAGCCATCCGGAAGGAAGAAATATTATGAGTATCTAGAAACTAGCTGTTTGACAGAGACAGAAATGCTGATAATGAGTGGGTTGTGTCTGTCTTTTTTGGCTGATCACAACAGAGGTCTGAAGCAAAACAGAAACTCTTGATATGTTTGTATAAAGAGGCAGTAGCATAAGGGCAGGCAGCAGGAGTTCAGCTGAAGTTCAGGGCAGATGCTGCCATTAGTTTACACTGAAGGAAAGTAAAATTGCTTCCGGATTTACCTCTTCCTCCCAACATCAGCGTTGAGCCATGCTGTGTCGCAGAGTCACAATGTCGGTAGGAAAGCAGTCTTTTAGCAGGATACCACGCTCACGATGGCAGTCCAGTTCTTCAATAAATCCATACCAGTAAATGACTAATCCAGGGCCAAATCTATCAAGCAAAAAGGAAAGTTAATTTATGTGCTTGTGTTATGAGAAATTTAATTTCCCAGCTCTAGTTATTTCAACACAGACAGTACTGGACCTCCATTCAATTTTCAAATTTTAACCAGTGTTGAACCATCATGTCATTAATGCCTGGTTCCTTAAATAAAAATGCTATTTAGAGGCTCAAACAATCCAGATCAGACTTCTGTTTTTTTTTTCTTTGAACAATCTGCACATACCAGTAAAAAGACCTATGCTTTAAATACTGAATAATATTCAGTAACTTTGATACATACAGAAGTCTTTCCCGCCCTGCATTCTGTTCTCCCAGATTTGGGCATGCAGGCATTAAAATAAAGGGGTTTATGCAACTTCCAGTTCACGCAAATTACACTACCATGACGATAACAATGAATCCTTAAAATACAGCTGCTAAATGAGGTAATTATTAATGTAAAGCACAATTCGGAAAGAAATAGAAAGTTTCTGCTGTAACATCTCCGAAATGCGTCTCAGGAATTCCTCAGATATTGCTAACTCTGACTGATCCCCACTAGGCAATCTCAGGAAGTAACCCCATGCACCATTTTACCCATCAGGAAGTTCAGACCTTCAGGCTGGGTTCATAAAGAAGTAATCACTATCAATCACTGCATACTGTGATATGTTTTGCACATCAGTTTCACGTTTTTCCTACTGAGAGCACTTAATTAAAGGGCAGCGCTACTTTTGGTGTAGTGTTGCAGGAATTTTACAGTGAAATCATAAATTATGAATGTTGGGTTAGTAAAAGGATGTCTAAAAACAGAACTGCTTTCTGTAGTCTAACATTACAGCAGTCTGTACAACATTAGGCCAAAAAGCTTTTTCTTTTCTTGATTTATTATATGCTGTAGTGAACTTGCCAAAAACAACAGTGCAGGATGAGCTGTTAGATACCGTCTGTACAAGAAAAAGTTCAATATAATGTCATGTAATGGTTTATATGCAGAGCTGTGCTCTGGACTCAACCAATATGGTACCCAATTTTTGTTAATGTTTAATTATAATAAAAATGTGTTATAGGGCTTGCACAGTAACCTAAATATCCACTTAGCAGACAATACAAGCACTCAAAAACGTGGGTAGTGCCAGACCAGCTTCATTAGGGTGGTTTCTTCCCAGCAATGGAGGGAAAACTCTATTTGATGTGCTCATGTAATGGAACAGGCATCAAAGGAAGAAGAAACCCTGCGGCTTCCTCCTGCAGTTTCAATTAGATACGGTAGCCTTTAGTCCAAAACTGCTGCATAGCGTTGTAACATTTCTGTTTATGGCTACTACTCTTCAACCGAGAAGTGGCCGCAGTTCAGTGGCAAAGTAAATTACTCCTCAGCACAGCTGAGGCAACACAGGCAAATGTGGATTTTACAACTGAAATATGATATTTGGAAGGAGAGAGAGGCTGAAACTCTGACAAATCCAGCTACACTACTTAATGTATTCAAACAAATTTAGCATTGAAGAAATCACAGATTCAGAAGTGGCTCCTATGGAAGGGCAATGCTGCCTACACCCAATTCCTAAGTTTTCTCTGGCTGGCCAACAACTTCATGTGGGGACAAGATGTGCATGACCCCACTGCACTATGGAGGCCAGCTAGCCTAGCAGCAGTGAGAAGTAAGTGGCAAGTGAAGCCAAGGACTGATGCTCCTTGCCTCCAGTAGGAGGCTGCAATTTGCTGGTGCAGGATGGGCCTACTTTTGCTACTTCACAGGCTATGTATCTGCTCCCACATCAACCAAACATAATAAAAGGATAATCTAGTAGGGGATGTATATATGTGCTAACCAAAACTATTTTAAAAGCAAAGATAAAGCCCCTGGAAGATAGGAGCAGACCTTACATTTCTAGTGGGCTATTTTATGCAAGGGAGAAGCTATGAAATGTCCACAAATACTTACTCATTATAAGCGCATGTGCCAGGTAAAATCTTCATACTAATGCTCACCCAAGTTTTGAAGGGCTCATTTTGCTCTTTGTGGCAGTTTGAATCCCCTATCCACCACAAAAGAAATGTGGCACTGCACTCGTGTAATTTGAAAAGTTTTTTTTTTTAAAAGGAAATTTTAAATAAAATTAGTATTTCGAGATGCCCCTAAAGTGTAATTTATGTCTTTCTAGAAAATCATCGCAGCTCAAGCACACTTTTTCAGGAATATTTCATGCTTTAAAAGTTACCTTCAGAAATCATCAGATTTGGTGATAAAATTTATATACAGGAACATCTGCATACTGTTAATTGCAGGTGCAATTTCATCTTTAGCATGAAAACATCTATCAATCCTGCTTTTGGCTGTAATATAGGAAAACTATTTTCCCTGTACTGCCTAGGTTGCACTTTTTTCCACTATATTGTGCCATTCTTTCTATTATAGCTCTATATCATACCTCCCATATGTATGATCACATAAAAAACATACCATACTTTTGTTTAAAAACACTTAAGTGCAGTACTTAAGATCAAAATAACTTGTTGGCACATTAAGCATTTGCCACTGACTATCAGGAACTCCTGCTGCTAAGTGTTAATTTCTCTCTCATTAACACCCAGAGTTGGCAAATCACAAACAATACCACTGGTTAATTACTGCTGCCTTAATTTGAAAAGACACTTAACCTTTTTGTGCAAGGGGATGAGGTGTTGAAGTGTAACCTAGAAGTAAGAACTATCCTTTTTAATTTGACTCCTTCCAAAGCACAGATATGACACTATGAAGAACAAAACACAATGCTGTAAATCACAAAGTAAAGCTTCAAATTGATTTCTGCATCAATGGTAACATTTAACAAGTTAGTGACTAACCCTGGTTTACACAGGAGAATAAACTAAAACGACAGAATGCTTACATAGTATTGCCATGGAAAGGGGATCCACTAGCCCTGAGGAGGAGAAAAAAAACCCCACGTCGAATGCACCAAATGGTTCTAAAACTATATAGATGTGATATGCAATATAGGCTAGGTTATGCCATTTCATATGAAAGACACACAGGAGAAAGTTTAATATGAAAATCGAGCTTAGATTGTAACAAACTGTGGACTCATATGGATTTTGTTCTTGCTCAGAAAAGTTCTGTAAATCCCTGCAAATGAGCTTAAATTGCATTTTTCCCTCCATCTTTAGCTCTTTCCCTGAAAAGCTTAAGTGTGAAGGAATGTGTCCAAAAGTTATATGAAACGGTAGTTTTACCTATTTCAGTGAAACTATTACTTTTAGAACTTTATTTTTATATGGTGTATCTTTTTAAAGCTGAAAAGAAATCCAAGTAACTAAGGTTTGGTTAATTCCATGCAGTAAAAATTGAATAAATAGGAAATATAGAGGCAAGCCCCCTTCAGAGTATAAAGAACACAGCAAGTGAAAATTGTCCATGCAGGTTGCATAAGTTTACTTTACAACCCAAAGCCAAATGTTTTTTTTTTCCTAAAAAAAATAATCTTTGTGTAAGTCAAGGGATCACTTAAGAAAAAAATATGGAAAAAAAAACCCTAAGTAAAACGTGAACCTGGGTTTCACTTGCCCTCCAATTGAACCAGTTTTGTGCTAGAAAAAAGACTTTTATTTATTTATCAAAGTGGTCTAGTAGGATCACACACATTCTACTTCACTTCAAGAGAAACTACTTTCTAGTAATGTCTTTTCTTTTGGAATATCTGTGTGGGGTCCATGCTAGCTTCTAAGGATTCACCTAGACATGTGGCTGTTGTGAGTGGATTTTTTCACCATCAAAAAGCCTTGCATGTGGTTTTATGAAAAATGCATTTTCAACACACTGCTCGATACTGAGCAGAAATGTAAAACATCTTGCAGCTGTTTTTAACTAAAGGTTCACTTTATTTATTCTCAGTCTATTTGTTACGGATGGGCTGTATGCATCTCAGCATAATGTAAATAATTTTAATTCCGAAAGACTCCCCTAATGAAATGCTGGCATATAAATTATTATTTCTAATATGCATGTACTTAAGCAAGTATTTTATCAAACAGATTCAGATAAGTATTCCTGTTATACGAAAGCATAACAGCCTACCTGGTTGGTGATTTTACTTCTGAAGGTCACATCTGAATGTGACTTTGAAGGGACCTCATTCCGGCCCCTTGCTTTTTAATGTCAGATCATCAACAGGGGCAGCTGAAAAGCTGGCTTTGTTTCCTTGTTTTTCTTTTTAAATATCAAATCAGAGCATTACCACTTGCATGTGACTACTTACTTCATGGGAAAAGGGAATTACAAAAAATCACAAATAAATTATTATATTCTAAGTCATTTATCACAGTTCCTTTGAATCACAGTTGTGAGTAAAGTGGTTTTACTTGTAGTACTAATGAACCCTGAAGATATAATTAATCCCCCTATAATAGCTAATAAATTTATTGATTAAGGACTCACAACTTTATTTTAGTGTTCCTGTAGAAGTCTCATTTGTGTCAGTGGAGGGAATTTAGATATTTGCAGGGCCAGGCTAGTAGGTAACAACCGCAGACCACATTTTCAAGTAAGGTCAGTTGGCATCAGCCAGCCAACTTCCTTACGTCTAGACCAGTTTACCACTGCAGATGACACAGCGTTATATATCTTGGCAAACATTTAATAGCTGCTGCTCAGACACTGACTTTGATTAGCAAGAATTTTTCCATATAAGCAGCTACCACAAGAGTGGCTCAGAAGAGTTTGTAACAGGGCATTTCTGCTACTGTTCATTTCTATAGAATTTTAAAATCAAATAAAGGTATTTGTGCATGAAGAGAGTGCATTTTTAAAACTCTGAAGGCAATTTAAAGATAACTGTGGGGTTTTATTATCCTCACCACTTTTTAAATCCTCCATATGCTTTTGTGATTCAGTAACACGCACTGATTTAAATAAAACATGCCTTCAAGGCATTACACAGGACCTTATTTCTTTGACTTCACCAAATCTGGTTGAAAGAAATCCAGTACTTAGTAACAAGTTTAACAAG